TTTGTAGAAAAGAGTTGGCACTGCTTCATTACTTGTCAACACTGTCCCATTAGATTATTATATATAAGATATATATGTGAGGAAAACAAGTGTCTGGGGACAGATCACAACCTGCCTATTAGATGTGAGCATATAGTACATGTTTTTACTATTACTTTGTTATCATATTTTGGCCCATCAGTAATGTTCTTTCTTTGAAATATGTCTGTGTTGTAAGAACACTGTTGCATTCTTGCCCATAAGATCAGGAAAAATATTGTTAAAAAAATATTTTAAAGTGCAAATACTTTGAAAGCTTCTGTCAGGAAGACTATTTATTTTGATCTACAAGGGCATTCTTAGTGCCCTTGTAGATCACTCTCCTTTTTAACTTCTTAAGGAGATTGACCAACTGCTCACTCACTATTCCTTGTATATTTGACAATATTTGTTGCAACAGTTTTTTCTTTTCACTTGTTTGTTATTCTTTTTTTCATTTAATCAAAATTATTTTAATTTGAAACTATTTTAATGTTGTATTTTGAAATTATATTCTGAGAAATTATATTTTGAGATCCTTCATAGGACTAGGAGTCGAGATGTAAATAATTAAATAAAAATACAACTCTGTTTTTTTGTCCCAATCTTATAGTTTCTTGATGTTCATATATTTTATTATTACATGAATATCCTACTTTTTATATAAATTGGACATTCTTCCATAAGTGGTAAATTCAGATTATAATGATTGACCCATATTCCTACTCACTGAAGAGGTATTTGAATACAATCTCTATGCCAATTCTAACACTGTATTCATCAACTACATTTATAGAAAAATATGAAAATATTAGAATGATGAGAAATAGTTCTAGAGGTTTTTATTATTATTGTTTTATAATCTTAGCAAATATGCCTGCTTATGTACAACAATATCAAAGCAAACTCCACTAAAGTGTAGGAGTTATGCTAAGTAAGCCTTTACTGTAATTACAATGAAAGAGAAGGACGAGGGGGGACATGATAGCAGTGTTCCAATATCTCAGGGGTTGCCATAAAGAAGAGGGAGTCAGGCTATTCTCCAAAGCGCCTGAAGGCAGGACAAGAAGCAATGGGTGGAAACTAATCAAGGAGAGAAGCAATCTAGAACTAAGGAGAAACTTCCTGACAGTAAGAACAATTAACCAGTGGAACAACCTGCCTCCAGAAGCGGTGAATGCTCCAACACTGGAAGTTTTTAAGAAGAGACTGGACAGCCATTTGTCCGAAATGGTATAGGGTTTCCTGCCTGAGCAGGGGGTTGGACTAGATGGCCTTCAAGGTCCCTTCCAACTTTACTATTATTATTATTATTATTATTATTATTATTATTATTATTATTATTATTATTATTATTATTATTATTATTATTATTATTATATTGTCCATTCTCCCTTTTGGAGCCCTTTGACTTTCCTGACACAGAGAACATTCCTTCTTTTACTCCTTTTTTCTCTCATTCTCTATATCAAAAAAGGAAAAGGAAAGCTTAAACATGATAAGTTAAATGTTTTAAATTGTAGAAAGCTGCAGTGGTAGATCACCACATTTGACACCCTTCTCTATTTAAAATGTTCTTTATCCTTGTTTCTATTCTGCTAGCATCTCCTTTGTATACAGTATATTGCTTCCTTTCCCCATGGTGTTTCTGTGAATTGAAAGGAAGGCTCAGACTCAAAGATCAGCAAGCAATTTTATTACTTTGATTTTGCTGATAAGGTTTACCTGAAAAACCTGTTGTAAACCTGATTCAGCAGATAGATGTCCATATAATAAATAACAATAAAACTGAAAATGTTTATCCAAGAAATAAAAGCAATTGGAACTGTTATTTGATTGAGGAAAAGTACAATATAACGCAGGGGTGTCAAACTGCCGGACTGCAGGCCGGATGTGTCATGAGGAAACCGCACCCACCCCATTGCCAGCAATGGGGGAAAAGCTCCGATATTTTGCACGACGTCACAATACATCGGGAGTTTGACAGTCTGATATAACGGGAGCATGGTGGCTCAGCGGTTAAAGACACTGAGCTTGTCAGCTGGAAAACTGACAGCCCAGGTTTGAGACCCAGGGGCTGTGACCAATTGGACATAATGTTCTGCAGTACAAGCTTCAATCTATATTTTTGATCTTTGCTTCTCCTGGCTCCTTCATGCCGAATAACTGGGACAGGAAGTTTGATGGGCAGAATGGTCCTGGCTGCCTTTAAAGAGGCGCTGGTATGCCTCCTTCCAAAGAGGACTTCTCTGTTCCTTGCTCTACTATATTAGATACTCATCATCCAGTCTCCATCATGGTTCAAAAGCAGAGGACAATGCCTGGTGTGCCTTTATCTAAGAAGACCTGGTGTTTGCATATTATATTAGTGTTATTTATTTATTCATTTATTTATTTGATTTTTATACTGCCTTTATTATTTTTATAAATCACACGAGGCAGTCCTATTTTCCATGGGTAATGGTGCTTTATTTTGTTTTCTGTTTTGGTTTGTATGTTTTATTGATGGAAATTTTCGGGACTGTTTGAATGCTGGCAATATACTACATGAAAATGAACCTTGTTTAACAACCACTCATTCAGTGACTGTTTGAAATTATGATGGTGATGAACAAGTGGTAATTACAACTGGACCTCCTTTACTTATCATGTTACAGCATCCACACATAAGCCAGCAGGAAATCAGAAAATTGCAGTCACATGAATTCCTCGTATAACAATAGTAACTGGGAACCCAGAATCACTTTCAAAATGTATCCATAGTATACTTATCCATAGATACAAGTGATGATTCTTTAATAAACTTATACAAAAATATTGAAATAGTGAATCCAAGGTTCAACACATGTTTAGTCCTTCATACACATTTGGTCTTCTGCTTCTTATTTCTTAATTTCTAAATTTCAAGTTAGAGATCAGACCAGCAAAAGCACAAGTGCCAACAGTTTTAAAATATTTTTGACGCCTAATTTTGTGTTAGGAGGAGAAAATGTACTTCTCATTATTGTATTCATTTGTGGTTTTCTCTGATAAAATAACAGGATTAAACAGGAATGCTGTCAATAGTTATTACTATATATTAGATTAAAACAGCCTATTGCTAAAAAGGCAAGTCCTGAAGACAGCATCATTCAACAACCTATAGGGCTAATCTTGGGCACTAAATAAAAGAGTAATTTAGATTAAGATAAAGTATTACCGAAAGCAGGAAATATCATCTTGCAGATAAAGGAAGCATTTGTTTCTTATCTGCATGATCTAGTGCTGGTTTTAATGTGACCATGTGATTTCCTGTTAAATACTTATCACCCTTCTTAAATCAATTGCATTATATTACATTTGCATTTTTCTTACTTTTTAAAATTTGGTTTCTGTATATTATTGAACAATGTGTACTGGGTTAGATAGAGAACATTATCTTAAATCTAGTCATCACTTAGGAGACTCTTATTCAACCTTTAATTTAAGGCCTTTACATATTATCTCATTTGTTTTAGTATAGAATAGAGCTGGAAGGGACCTTAGAGGTCTTCTAGTCCAGCCCCTTGCTCAAGCAGGAGAAGCTATACCGATACCCTCTTGAGCTTCTCAGGCTATAAAGAAAATAGTAGGAGATTTGTACTTTCAGATTTGCAAGATTCTGTTAATGTAGCTAATATAATAAAGTAGAATTAGCTCAGTTGGTTGTGTTTCCTCTTTGGCTTACCTGGGAGAGAGAGAATATATATGTGTGTGTGTTTCTATCTGCCTGCCTGCCTGCCTGTCTCTGGATAATATTATCCACAGAATATTGATGGTTGAATGATTCTAGAAGTTCTAAATCAATAAAGACGGTCTTTACACTGATTATCAGTCATTTGTTAATTGCCTGGATTTCAGTTTGTCAAACTGGAGTCTTCTGAATAAACATGCATAAGGTTGCACTATAATAAGTTAATATTTTATAAAATGTGTATGCAGTGGTGGGATTTAGCCAGTTCACACCAGTTCGGCAGAACCAGTAGCTAATATGTTGTTGTCCAGGCCCAGAATGGACTTCTGGAAGCGGCATCCACACAGAGAATTGGTTGTTCACATATATGAATCCCACCGCTGTGTGTATGTCTATGGAGTTTCTCAGTCATCCAGGTCATGCTTGTCCCAAAAATGCTTTTTCAAAAGGCAACTGGACTTTATTTTTGGATTTGAAGTGTGTCTGTATATTGTGTGGGTTGAAAATCCTCCTGAGCTTTTCAGATATTCCTGCAATATATGAAATGAATAAATTAAGGAGGATTTTCAACCACACAATATACAGACACACTTCAAACCCAAAAATACACTAAAGCAGAAGCTTGTCCACCCCAAGGATAAAACAATGTGATATATGCAGTACAATGCTGGGAGACGTGTACACATCTGTTTATTGGAGAAACAAAACAGTCTTTTCACCAACGCATGGCACAACATAGGAGATCAAACCCATCAGGACAAGATTCAGCAGTTCATCTACATTTGAAAGACAAAGGTCACTCTTTTAAAGACAGCAAAGTCCATATTCTAGAGAGGGAGGACTGCTGTTTTCAAAAAGGGGTGAAAGAGGTCATTTACATTAAGATTGAATAGCCCTCTCTCAACAGAGGGGGAGAGAAACAATACCACCTATCTCCTGTTTACAATGTAATCCTTTCAGCAGTTCCAAGAAGGTTCTACATTGCATTATTCCAGTGACCCTGAGGGCCCAGATAAATCTTCAAATAGCCTCAACAGAAAAAATGCTAATGAGCAGTTGACTGCAAGGAATATAAATCCATCCATCCTCCACCATTTGGTCAGAGCTGAAGAAGCTTCTTGGATAAAAAGGGAAAGATCTTCAAGAAAAAAACAATCTCCAGTTGCCTTTTGAAAAAGCAGTAAGATGTATATGAAAATGAGTAATGTAAACTTAAGTATCACAATTATCTTTGAATAAAATATGTGTTTTCTTTGGTTTCTAAATGGAGAAGAGGAAGCTGCTCCAAACAGCATTGTTGCAGAATATCTTGAAGAAAAGAAGAAATATGAAGAATTGAGGAAGCAGCAGCCAAAGAAAGGATCTTCTCGTGAAGATCAGGTAAGTATCATATTTACCCAAAAGGGGGGGGGGGGATCACACAGAACTAAATAATCTACTCAATTATAGTTACAGAAATGGCTACGACAAGTCTGTTATTTTATGTTATGGAGGAGGGGGAGAGAGAGGAGTTTAGTTTTATTTCATCTTTTTCTTTACAATTTACCATTAATTTTAAAGCATATTAACAAATCTATGGTCTTGATACCATAGCACAATAGTGGAAGCAAAAGGCTGGAATTATTCTTTATACTTTTTAAACAGCATACTGCATCTTCACAGAGCTATATTCCAAATTTTTTTACAGTTAGTGAAAGTGTTTTAGTAGAAGACTACCTCTTTGAAAGCACACTGTAATAATTGTTGGTTCATACACTTATGTTCAGTGTATGAATATTTTAAATAATTGCAGTGAATAGGCGTATCACTATTAGTACCTGAATACATTGATTCAATAAAATGATTATTTCTTTTGGAACAAAAGTGAAATCAGGTGTTCTCTAGCAGCACAGTTCAATGGGCAAATAATTCTGTCATAAATGAATTTTTTTTGTGTAGGAACATTCTAATACCTATAGATGCGTACAAACATAAGCTACACCTTACAGTATGTTTGTATTGTAAGGTATAGCTTTCAATATAAAATATAATATAATGGATATCTACAGTGAGGGGAAAAATTATTTGATCCCCTGCTGATTTTGTATGTTTGCCCACTGACAAGAAAATGATCAGTCTATAATTTTAATGTTAGGTTTATTTTAACAGTGAGAGACAGAATAACAAAAAAAAAAAAGGAGTGCTCCTAATCTCAGCCTGTTACCTGTATAAAAAACACCTGCCCACAGAAGCAATCAATCAGATTCCAAATTCTCCACCATGGCCAAGACCAAAGAGCTGTCCAAGGATGTCAGGGACAAGATTGTAGACCTACACAACACTGGAATGGGCTACAAGACCATCGGCAAGCAGTTGGTGCGATTATTCGCAAATGGAAGAAATACAAAATAACTGTCAATTTCCCTCGGTCTGGGGCTCCATGCAAGCTCTCACCTCGTGGAGTTTCAGTGATCATGAGAATAGTGAGGAATCAGCCCAGAACTACATGGAAGGATCTTATCAATGATCTCAAGGCAGCTGGGACCATAGTCATCAAGAAAACAATTAGTAACGCACTACATCATTAAGGACTGAAATCCTGCAGCACCCACAAGGTCCCCCTGCTCAAGAAAGTACATGTACAGGCCCGTCTGAAATTTTCCAATGAACATCTGAATGATTCAGAGGAGAACTGGGTGAAAGTGTTGTGGTCAGATGAGACCAAAATCAAGCTCTTTGGCATCAAAATCAAGCTCTTTGGCATCAACATCAACTCAGCCGTGTTAGGAGGAGGAGGAGGAATGCTGCCTATGACCCCCAAGAACACCATCGCCACCGTCAAACATGGAGGTGGAAACATTATGCTTTGGGGGTGTTTTTCTGCTAAGGGGACAGGACAACTTCACTGCATCAAAGGGACGATGGATGGGGCCATGTACCGTCAAATCTTGGGTGAAAACCTTCCCTCAGCCACAGCCAAGGCAACAAAGTGGCTCAAGAAGAAGCACATTAAAGTCCTGGAATGGTATAGCCAGTCTCCAGACCTTAATCCCATAGAAAATCTGTGGAGGGAGCTGAAGGTTCGAGCTGCCAAACATCAGCCTTGAAACCTTAATGACTTGGAGAGGATCTGCAAAGACAAGTGGGACAAAATCCCTCCTGAGATGTGTGCAAACCTGGTGGCCAACTACAAGAAACCTCTGCGATTTTTGCCACCAAGTACTAAGTCATGTTTTGCGAAGGGGTCAAATACTTACTTCACTCATTAAAATGCAAATCAATTCATAACTTTTTTGAAATGCAGTTTTCTGGATTATTTTTGTTGTTATTCTGTCTCTCACTGTTAAAATAAACCTACCGTTAAAATTATAGACTGATCATTTCTTTGTCAGTGGGCAAACGTACAAAATCAGCAGGGGATCAAATACTTTTTCCCCTCACTATAGGTAGCCAGTGAAGAGCTAGAACATTCATTGGAATTACATTCATTGAAGAGTAATAGACAAAAAATTATTTGATAAAATAAGCATATTAAAAAATATAGTTCAGAGGGGTTTTTTTCCACAAAATACAACACTTTACAAAGGGAGGGATTTATATTCCTCATAGTCATCTGATCGTTAGCGCTGAGAGTCATTGAAGCCACTTGGAGGTTTATCTGTGCCCTCAGGTCACCTGAATAATGTAAATGGGTGTGGAACCTTCTTGGAACTGCTGAAAGGACTGTGTTGTAAACAGGAGATTTATGGTGTTGTATGCCTCCTGTTGAGAGAGGGCCATTCAGTCTTAATGTAAATGGCCTCTTTGACCCCTCTTTCAAACCTGGTTATAAATTATATATAAGTTATATAAATATAAATCCTTCCATTTGCCATCATTCAGTCAGAACTGAAGAAGCTTCTTGGATGAGAAACAAAACATCTTCAAGGAAGAACAAAGAAAATCCAGTTGCCTTTTGAAAAAGCATCTTTGTGTAAGGCACAGTGAATTGGGCATGTGTTAAGCATCATATTTTAATTCCAGACATTGGTGTTACTGGATCAATTCAAATCAAAGCTAAACCAGGCAATATCAGAAACACCTGAAGATGAAGTACCTGAACCTGAAGTGGAGAATGATGAAGGATGGTGAGAAACTTATGAGTTCAAAGTAACTTTAAGTACGAAATAGAGAATAGAAAATATTTTCAAAATCTGTCTTCAGGATGTTTTAATTTTCTGTTCCCATGACCTAATTATAAACAAATTTGTTTTATGCAAGGATGTTTTATGCAAGGATATTTTTCCTTAACAAAACTCTTCTTCTGAGGGATAGATTTCATCTTGATCTCCATTTTCAATAAACCTAAAAAAGATTGCCATTCCCTTACTACAATTCCTTAATAGTGTAGAAAAAATAACTTTCCTGCATCAGAACTAGTGAAGTTTATAAGCAAATTTACCCTTCACCCACCCTGTTAATTAATCACACAAGTTGAATGATAGGGTTAAAATCTATCCTCTCCCAGTGGACTCCAGTAGAAACCAGGAGACTGTGAATTCTACTCCTTGCTTAGGGCACAAAGCCAGCTGGATGACTTGTGCTAGTCTTTTTTTTTCAGCCTAGAAGGCAGCAGCAAGCCAACTCTGAAAACAGGAGTCAAGGCTAATACATGCTAGTACATGCACACACGGGCACGCGCGCACACACACACACACAACCTACTACTAGTAACAATAGCACCCTCCCTCCTCCAGGGAAAATTATGTATATCGTACCATGGTTTATTTTCAAGAATATAGTAAGCCTAAAACAGGACAGGGAATCTTCTTCTGTTTGAGAGACACGATGCATTATGGGAAATATTATGGCAGTTAGGAGTGCTTCCCATTAGTGGGTGAAATCATTGCTTTTTATACTGTTTGTTTCTTTAAAAAAAATCTTCCCTCACACACACTTTCGTGCAACACCCATTTAGTAAATTCTCTTTCCCCCCCTTTTTTATGTTATCTTAGTGTCCATTGCTGATTTCTAAGCCACTGAAGGAATATTCCAGTGCACAAGAGGAAGAAGAAAACAGACAAAGCAAGGATTCTTACTAAGGGCCCATTCATATAGCAATATATTGCTCCTAGGGCTTAATCAGAGTTAGCTTACTGCTGAGAACATGCACACAAATAAAAGTTTATTTTGTAGACTCTAGATTAAGTCGCTTCAGGATTGTGTCTTTTGGAATTTCACTAACCTAAAAACTGTAACAAGCATGCAGAATTTTTTGGTTGAGAGATTGGTTTGGGAAGAACAAAATATTTTTGGATTCAGATTAGTTTTTTTCCCTCTTCAGTGCCCTTAACTAGGTTGAGTGGCTGGATCCAATTGTGGCATCTTTGAAGGAATTTTTAGTGTAGACTTCCAACCCACTCCTCAAAAACTATAGCAGTGTGCTTTGAGATGATTTACTGAAATTGTGTGTGTGTGAGAAAGAGAGAGAGAGAGAGATGCATAAATTATATGATTGTAAACCATTTTGTAGGATATGGTTGCTGCTTTTATGGAAAGTGAAACCCAGCCAGCAATCCTTGCACAACTGTCAGGGTATGTTATCTGAAATAAAATGATTGCCTGTAAGACATTCTTTTGTGTCCACATGAGTGGCCACACATTGAGGTATAATTTTCATTTTCTGTCAAGATAGAAGCCATTACCAATTTGTTATATTTTCTTTTATTTGGCAATCTTCTCTTTCTGCATTTTTGGCTGAATTGTCCTGTTGGCATAGAATACAGCAGACATTTGGGTACTTTTCAGACGTATTTGACTTCTCTGTGCAAAAACATTTTTTTAATATTACAACTCTACTGTAAACAGTGTGTATGGTGTTTGATAATTACTACCAGACATTACTATTTTACAAGGCATTTTAGGAAGCATTGTTAAAAGATCTAAAGCAAATTTGATAGGGTAGAGTTTCATTCTAAAGCTTAAAATCTCTTATTGGGACATACCACTGTTATCTGAAACTCAACAGTGCTTCTGTCTGCTTCCTTGTGTTCTTGTCCCCCTATAACAGCTATACAATGTAAAATGCATATAAAACACAGGTCATAAATGCCAGTGTGACATTTGCAGGACTGTTGATGGAGCCCTGTGAAAACCTATATGACCCTCTGCTACACGACACATCTGGATTTCACACAGCAGTGACATTTGCACCATTTACTCATCATTTCTTGGCGCTGGCTGACACTGAGGTGTCTAATGCTGATAAATGTAACAGCAACTAGTTTCATGACCATTATTAAGAAGGAGTTCCTGAAACCTTTGAGTTTCATTCATTTTTTTTATGTTTATAGCTTCAGTTATCCTCCTTTACATAAAGAGTTGCTTAATTTCTCAAAGAACATTTAATAAAGACATTTGCTCATTAGCTGCTACACAGCACATTTCCAATATGATAGCAGTGATACAAGATGCAGAGATAGAAAGAGTGCAAGACTACACTGCTTTCTGCTTCATATTTGTTTTCTGTTAATAGTGGAAAGACAGAGCCATTTCTTTCCTTTTTAGGAAAAAGCTGAAATGCTGTGCATGTTGCAAGGCACATCCCTTGATTATGTCCAACACAAGAGACCTGAATTTGTACAGCTAAGCTCTGCCTCAAAGTTCAGAGTTCCTTAATTCATTTTGTGGGACCAAATCACAATCCAGGAATACCATTAACATGTGACAAGATTTCCATTTTCCAGATATTAGTATTACTAGAAACAGAAGTAAAAAAAATTAGCCTCCAATAGTCTCCATAAGCACTATTTACCAAATAGTCCTGCACTTGATAATATCACTGCCAATTAATCATGCCAACGTATATTTCAATGTCTGCCCTTCAGGGTAGGCCAAGATAGGAAATAGACTCTATAAAAAATACCAGAAGCCTATGGATACATGCTATACTAACAGAATCTTGCAAGCCTGACATGGTTTTCCTTCCCTCTTATACCAGAGAGTTAACATTGAATCACTCTACTCCTTCCAAGCTTAAATCATGTTTTGCTAATTGTTGCATTCCTTTTCCAAAGTTCTCTGTACTCATCTTGTATCAACAGGGACCTCAGAAGGAAGATAAAACACACATGTATGTACATCCATGCCTCTTACTATTATCACATATGTTGCACACATTCACAATGCTAAGTCAGGATTTTGAGCCATGTTTATTGAAGAAACCATCAAGACCTGATTTGTATGCAGTGCTAAGGCAGTATATACAAGGTCACACACCACAATATGCCCAAAAGAAGCAATATTTGGCTTAGTTCAGAATGAGAATGGAATGAGAATGTATATTTTAAACAAAGATGCAAAAGAAAATATCCAAAATAGCCTGGTCTGTTAGCTTGAGACTCATGAAATGAAGAATGTTGGGAAGTTTTTCACAATATATGAAACAAGAATGTCATGCAGCAGGAAACAGCTATCAGTTTTTTCTTCTTTCACCATTATAGGGAGAGAGTCCACCTTTTAACCAGCACATTTTCACCTCAATTTGGCAGCTTCACTCAATTGATTTAGTTCTTGTCTGCTAGATGATTGAATATTTTTGATTATGAGGGTTTAATTTTCTGTTTGGATCAAGATTAAGTTCATTTGAGAGACTGTTATATAAACATATTCCACTCTGGAAGTGATTAAGCCAGGAGTTATAAAACCATGCACAATTTGATATTTAAAAGCATTTTCTGGCTTTCCTCATAGTGCATAATATCAAGTTGTTCAAAGATCTTCATTCCAAACTTAGATGTGCTTGATCAGCCACAATTAAAAGTATAGCTCCAAAGTTATTACAACAGCACATACGTATCAATTAATCAGAATATAGCTGGAAGGGACCTTTGAGGTCTTCTAGTCCAACTTCCTGCTCAAGCAGGAGACCCTATACCAGGGGTAGGCAACCTCGGCTCTTTTATGACTCGTGGACTTCAACTCCCAGAATTCCTGAGTCAGCTATGCTGACTCAGGAATTCTGGGAGTTGAAGTCCACGAGTCATAAAAGAGCCGAGGTTGCCTACCCCTGCCCTATACCATTTCGGATATGTGGCTGTCCAGTCTTTTCTTACAAAACCCCAGTGATGAAGCACCTACAACTTCTGAAGGCAAGCTGTTCCACTGGTTAATTGTGCTCCCTGTTAGAAAGTTTCTCCTCAATTCCAGGTTGCTTCTCTCCTTGATTAGTTTCCATCCATTGTTTTTTGTCTTGCCTTCTGGTGCTTTGGAAAATAAGTTGATGCCTCTTCTTTGTAGCAGCTCCTCAAATACTGGAATACTGCTATTATGTCACCCCTAGTCCTTCTTTTCTCTAGACTGGCCATACCCAATTCCTATAACTGTTATTTTTGTCTCCAAGCCCTTAATCATCTTAGTTATTCTTCTCTGCACTTTTTCCAAAGTCTCAACATCTTTTTTGTAATGTGGTGACCAAAACTGGATGCAGTATTTTAGGTGTGGTCTTACTAAGGCTTTTTAAAGCAGTACTAATACTTCACGTGATTTTGATTCTATGCCTCTATTTATACAACCAAGGATTGCATTAGCTTTTTTGGCTGCTGCTGCACACTGCTAACTCATGCTTAAGTGATTATCCACTAGGACTCCAAAGTCCCTCTCACAGTTACTGTTTTTGAGCCAGGTTTCACCTACTCTGTACTTGTGCCTTTGGTTTTTCCGGCCTGGGTGTAAAACCTTGCTTTTCTCCATATTAAATTTCATGCTGTTGGATAGGGCTCATTGTTCAAGTCTGTTACGATCTTTTTGAATCCTGAATTTATCTTCTGGGGTGTTGCCTATTTCTGCCAGCTTGGTGTCATCTGCAAATTTGATGAGTTCTCCTTCTATTCCCTCATCTAAGTCATTTATGAAGATATTGAAGAGTACTGGGCCAAAGACGGAAACTTGTGGTATCCCACTACATCCTGTAGTACCATTAAAGACTACTTGTTGAATACGGTTTGTCAGCCAGTTACAAATCCATCTAGTGGTGATGCTGTTTATCCCACATTTTTCTAGTTTACCAAGAAGTAGGTTGTGGTCTACTTTGTTGAATGCCTTACTGAAGTCTAAGTATATTATGTCCACAGCATTTCGCTGGTCTATT